TATAAGGAATAAGGCGCTTTAGTAAAATTGGACTAAGAGTCATCAAAATAACTGATAAAAGAAACTACTACAATGAAATGGTTTGACTGCTTTGGCTTTTTTGTATTTATTTCCAGTCCTTCAAGTGTTTTCTTATAGATATTCTGAATTTACAAGCTGTTTTAAAGGCACACTAGTTGTTGTTAGAAGAGCTCTTCTACACTGGCACTGAAAACATATTTTTAGGTTCAAATAAAGGACCACCCATAGGGGGTGGGGTGGGGGTGGGGGTGTTTGAGGGGTATTGGGATTTGAGAGAAAGTAGGAAAAGCTAAACAAATAAACTTTGCTGTTTCCTGGAATGGATTCAAGTTGATCTCTCTTGGGTCTTAAAAGTAGAAGGAATCCAAAGACTTACATGGGTTATGTAAAACACAAGCAGAAAGCAGGCCAGTTTTCTTTCAATGGTTTGAAAAGAATTTAGAAGTGAAACTGGTCTAACTGCCACTAATAATAATCAACCCTGTGAACGGTCTAACCTTTAAATCAGAATCTAGTCTAAATTAAATGATCAACTGACTTTTACCCCCAAACATGGTGCGTGCAATGGAATTCATTCATTAGAGATTGGCCCCCTCTGACCTCATTATACACAGTATTTAACTTTATTTTCTTCCACAGTTTTGTGCAGCAAGCTAATAAGGCTGTTAAATTTCAAATAAATCCTTTGTTGTTTTCAGGAAAAAACTGGACCTCAAAGTTGCAGGTTTTACTGAAGTCCCCTTTAAGGGGTCCTTTGCTCCTGGAAAATAAATCTGATTATTAGTTACTGTAAGTCAGGTTGTTTGATTTCCTCCAAAAGCTACTGACTGGTGACCTGGGGGGTTAAGCAGATACCAGCAAAAGCAGATGTAAACAACATATTTTGAGTTTAATTGCACTACTCAATATGAAGAAAAAAAAAAAGCAAAAAGTTTAAAAACAATTATTTAGGAAAATTATATAATTGAGTATACAGTATTGAATGCAAATTGTGTTTATCCAGAAAATAAACTCCGTCATATGTAAAACAAACATTCCTATTGTACCATGCCACTTCCTGGTAGACAAAAAAGAGGAAAAATGGATGAATTACTTTTTGTTTTCTAATTGATGTAATTCTAGTTCCACTGTTTTGTTGTTGTTGAGTCCTGCTGGCTTTTTGTGCTCACTTTAATTGTATAGTTAGTTTGTATTTATCTAAAGCCACAAGTTCACAAAACAAGTGTCATGATGGGCTCTCAAAGGGGACCCAATTATGCAGAACACCACTGAGTCGGAAACAGGAGTAAAGGTTTAACAGAGTTTATTTCAACAAGCACTGAGATTATGACTAGTTTGGATTCAGGCCTGGGAAACTGGTTCACTGGAGTCTGCGTGGGAGACAGTTTAGTTAGCGTAGAATCAGAG